GTTTACTGTTGAACTACTCTAACTACCCACGACTCACGAGACTGTGTTTACTGTTGAACTACTCTAACTACCCACGAGACTGTGTTTACTGTTGAACTACTCTAACTACCCACGAGACTGTGTGTTTACTGTTGAACTACTCTAACTACCCACGAGACTGTGTGTTTACTGTTGAACTACTCTAACTACTCACGACTCACGAGACTGTGTGTTTACTGTTTAACTACTCTAACTACCCACGAGACTGTGTGTTTACTGTTGAACTACTCTAACTACTCTAACTACCCACGAGACTGTGTTTACTGTTGAACTACTCTAACTACCCACGAGACTGTGTTTACTGTTGAACTACTCTAACTACCCACGAGACTGTGTGTTTACTGTTGAACTACTCTAACTACTCACGACTCACGAGACTGTGTGTTTACTGTTGAACTACTCTAACTACCCACGACTCACGAGACTGTGTTTACTGTTGAACTACTCTAACTACACGACTCACGAGACTGTGTTTACTGTTGAACTACTCTAACTACCCACGACTCACGAGACTGTGTTTACTGTTGAACTACTCTAACTACCCACGACTCACGAGACTGTGTGTTTACTGTTTAACTACTCTAACTACCCACGACTCACGAGACTGTTTACTGTTGAACTACTCTTAACTACCCACGACTCACGAGACTGTGTTTACTGTTTAACTACTCTAACTACTCACGACCCACGAGACTGTGTTTACTGTTGAACTACTCTAACTACCCACGAGACTGTGTGTTTACTGTTGAACTACTCTAACTACCCACGACTCACGAGACTGTGTGTTTACTGTTGAACTACTCTAACTACCCACGAGACTGTGTGTTTACTGTTGAACTACTCTAACTACCCACGACTCACGAGACTGTGTGTTTACTGTTTAACTACTCTAACTACCCACGACTCACGAGACTGTGTGTTTACTGTTTAACTACTCTAACTATCCACGAGACTGTGTGTTTACTGTTGAACTACTCTAACTACTCTAACTACCCACGAGACTGTGTTTACTGTTGAACTACTCTAACTACCCACGAGACTGTGTTTACTGTTGAACTACTCTAACTACCCACGAGACTGTGTGTTTACTGTTGAACTACTCTAACTACCCACGAGACTGTGTGTTTACTGTTGAACTACTCTAACTACTCACGACTCACGAGACTGTGTGTTTACTGTTGAACTACTCTAACTACCCACGAGACTGTGTGTTTACTGTTGAACTACTCTAACTACACGACTCACGAGACTGTGTTTACTGTTGAACTACTCTAACTACCCACGACTCACGAGACTGTGTGTTTACTGTTTAACTACTCTAACTACCCACGACTCACGAGACTGTGTTTACTGTTGAACTACTCTTAACTACCCACGACTCACGAGACTGTGTTTACTGTTTAACTACTCTAACTACTCACGACCCACGAGACTGTGTTTACTGTTGAACTACTCTAACTACCCACGAGACTGTGTGTTTACTGTTGAACTACTCTAACTACCCACGACTCACGAGACTGTGTGTTTACTGTTTAACTACTCTAACTACCCACAACTCACGAGACTGTGTGTTTACTGTTTAACTACTCTAACTACCCACGACTCACGAGACTGTGTGTTTACTGTTTAACTACTCTAACTACCCACGAGACTGTGTGTTTACTGTTGAACTACTCTAACTACCCACGACTCACGAGACTGTGTTTACTGTTGAACGACTCTAACTACCCACGACTCACGAGACTGTGTTTACTGTTGAACTACTCTAATTACCCACGAGACTGTGTTTATTGTTTAACTACTCTAACTACCCACAAAACTGTGTTTACTGTTGAACTACTCTAACTACTCACGACTCACGAGACTGTGTGTTTACTGTTGAACTACTCTAACTACTCACGACTCACGAGACTGTGTGTTTACTGTTTAACTACTCCAACTACCCACGACTCACGAGACTGTGTTTACTGTTTAACTACTCTAACTACCCACGAGACTGTGTGTTTACTGTTGAACTACTCTAACTACTCACGAGACTGTGTGTTTACTGTTTAACTACTCTAACTACCCACGAGACTTTGTTTACTGTTGAACTACTCTAACTACCCACGAGACTGTGTTTACTGTTGAACTACTCTAACTACCCACGAGACTGTGTGTTTACTGTTGAACTACTCTAACTGCCCACGACTCACGAGACTGTGTTTACTGTTGAACTACTCTAACTACCCACGAGACTGTGTGTTTACTGTTGAACTACTCTAACTGCCCACGACTCACGAGACTGTGTGTTTACTGTTGAACTACTGTAACTACCCACGACTCACGAGACTGTGTGTTTACTGTTGAACTACTCTAACTACCCACGACTCACGAGACTGTGTTTACTGTTGAACTACTCTAACTACTCTAACTACTCTAACTACCCACGACTCACGAGACTGTGTTTACTGTTGAACTACTCTAACTACTCACGAGACTGTGTGTTTACTGTTGAACTACTCTAACTACCCATGACTCACGAGACTGTGTGTTTACTGTTGAACTACTCTAACTACCCACGACTCACGAGACTGTGTTTACTGTTGAACTACTCTAACTACCCACGACTCACGAGACTGTGTGTTTACTGTTGAACTACTCTAACTACCCACGACTCACAAGACTGTGTGTTTACTGTTGAACTACTCTAACTACTCACGACTCACGAGACTGTGTGTTTACTGTTGAACTACTCTAACTACCCACGACTCACGAGACTGTGTGTTTACTGTTGAACTACTCTAACTACCCACGACTCACGAGACTGTGTGTTTACTGTTGAACTACTCTAACTACCCACGACTCACGAGACTGTGTTTACTGTTGAACTACTCTAACTACTCACGACTCACGAGACTGTGTGTTTACTGTTGAACTACTCTAACTACTCTAACTACCCACGACTCACGAGACTGTGTCTTTACTGTTTAACTACTCTAACTACTCACGAGACTGTGTTTACTGTTGAACTACTCTAACTACCCACGACTCACGAGACTGTGTTTACTGTTGAACTACTCTAACTACCCACGACTCACGAGACTGTGTGTTTACTGTTGAACTACTCTAACTACCCACGACTCACAAGACTGTGTGTTTACTGTTGAACTACTCTAACTACTCACGACTCACGAGACTGTGTGTTTACTGTTGAACTACTCTAACTACTCTAACTACCCACGACTCACGAGACTGTGTTTACTGTTGAACTACTCTAACTACCCACGACTCACGAGACTGTCTTTACTGTTGAACTACTCTAACTACCCACGACTCACGAGACTGTGTCTTTACTGTTTAACTACTCTAACTACTCACGAGACTGTGTTTACTGTTGAACTACTCTAACTACCCACGACTCACGAGACTGTGTTTACTGTTGAACTTCATGTGTTCTGGGGAATTCCCACATGTTCTGGCCGTGGCTTTAGGAGATTAGAGATGGGAATGGTTATAGTTAGGGTTAGTTTTTTAAAGCAGCTTTACAGCAAAAGCATTTCTAATCAATCTAGAGTGATCTGTTCTCAGAGGTGACCGAGTCCAACTTATGCGGTTCAGAAATGCACATATACAAAATCACACAGTCGGCTAAAAATGTATTCATTTAAACAATGTAGTAATTAAAGCCAGAAACAGTGAGCTTATTGAAGTAATGAAAACACATTTGTTAAATGATTAGGATATATAGAAAAATGTAGCACTAACATAAATGTACACAATAAGTAAATTGTATCAAATGGTTTGTGGCAAAGTATTTATGGCCAATTAATATAAAGTGTGACCCAAATACCTCTAAATAAAACCGGAAGAACTTTATTTATATTAAAGTTAGCTATACTGTAAAAAATTATTTTCATGATTTGTCAAATCAAGTTAGATAATTAATGTGATTCAGATAACATAATATTTGGAGTTTCTAATAATAAACCAATCTCCTTCATTGTATTAACTAAAAAATTGTAATTTTAATGAACAAAAAAATTTAACCAGGTAACTTACTTTTTTAACTTAAACCAACAATATTTTTTTACAGTGGGGTTTAGGGGTAGGGTATGTGTGTGTGTGTTTGTATGCGATGGGTAGGTTTAGGGGTAGGGTTAGTGTGTGTGTGTGTGTGTGAGATGGGTCGGTTTAGGGGTAGGGTTAGTTTGTGTGTGTGTGTGTGCGATGGGTAGGCTTAGGGGTAGGGTTAGTGCGTGTATGTGTGTGTGATGGGTAGGTTTAGGGGTAGGGTTAGTGCGTGTGTGTGTGTGATGTTTAGGGGTAGGGTTAGTGTGTGTGTGTGTGTGTGTGTGTGTGTGTGTGTGTGTGTGTGTGTGTGTGTGTGTGTGAGATGGGTTGGTTTAGGGGTAGGGTTAGTGCGTCTGTGTGTGTGTGTGTGTGTGTGTGTGTGTGTGTGAGATGGGTAGGTTTAGGGGTAGGGTTAGTGCGTGTGTGTGTGTGTGTGTGTGTGTGTGTGTGTGTGAGATGGGTAGGTTTAGGGGTAGGGTTAGTGCGTGTGTGTGTGTGTGAGATGGGTAGGTTTAGGGGTAGGGTTAGTGCGTGTGTGTGTGTGTGTGTGTGATGGGTAGGTTTAGGGGTAGGGTTAGTGCGTGTGTGTGTGTGTGTGTGTGTGTGTGTGTGTGTGATGGGTAGGTTTAGGGGTAGGGTTAGTGCGTGTGTGTGTGATGTTTAGGGGTAGGGTTAGTGCTTGTGTGTGTGTGTGTGTGTGTGTGTGAGATGGGTAGGTTTAGGGGTAGGGTTAGTGCGTTTGTGTGTGTGTGTGTGTGTGTGTGATGGGTAGGTTTAGGGGTAGGGTTAGCGTAAGGAGAGAGAATATACTGTTTGAACAGTATAAAAACCATTACACCTATGGAGAGTCCCTAAAAAAACATTAAAACTCAACGTGTGTGTGTGTGTGTGTGTGTGTGTGTCCACAGGCACGCTCAGAGCCAGCAGAAACACCTGGCAGAGAAAACGCCATCTAAATGAAGACCCTCCACACCATCAGATCAGATCACACACCTTTCCTTTGCTTCTGTGGTTCATCATAACACACACGTTCCTCACGAGACCCCGAGCGGGACGTCCCACACACTCCAGCGCTCGGCCTTCGCTCACTCATCCGCTACAGTCTCTTACCGTCGCCACTAAATTATAACCGTCAAAGCATACAATGGTGTAAAAGCGCCTTGTGAGAAATTTAATTCAAGTTTTAGAAAAGAAGAAGAAAGCGAGTGTTCTGAGCAGCCGTGATTTACCCGTGTCATGCTCCAGGTGGACAGTGTGTGTGTGTGTGTGTGTGTGTGTGTGTGTGTGTGTGAGGAGGGAAGCACGCCTGCCTTGTACTCGACCTGTAGCTTTCGGTAACGTTCACTCCGACTGGTTTTCAACAGTTCGTGAATGTTGATTCTGACATGAGTCATTTGAATAATAATAAGTGTGTTAATATCATTTTCATTCTATTGTATTCAGATTCTTTATTTGAGGGAGATGCTTATGTACAGATATGTATAAAATAAGAAAAATAAAACTTGGTTTCATAGACTGTGGCGTGCTGGATCGTCTTTATGATTTATGATTAATGATTTAGAATAAAACTGATTAACTGGTAACACTTTACAATAAGGTTCATTAGTTAGCATTAGTTCATGTATTACTAACAATGAGCAATACATTTGTTACAGTGTTTATTAATCTGTTAATGTTAGTTAATACAAATCCAGCTGTTCATGTTAGTTCCCAGTGCGTTAACTAATGTTAAGAAGTGAGCCTCACTGTAAGTGTTACGGATTAACTGTGAACACGATTAAACACTGACTTTCACATCACGTTTTGAACCGTTCAGATGTGATTTACTGTACATTTTCTTTCATCCACAAACATGTTTCAGTGACACTCATTTCCAGAAACGGCATTAGTCATCTCAGAAGTGGCTTTTCTTTCTCGATTTAATTATTTGCCATTTTGTAAATGAATGTGTTTCACTTTGGAAATTTGTCAACACCCACAGATCAAGTAAATGTATGTATCATATTCTATTTGAGGCCGCATATGACTGTTATTACACATTATTGCGACAAAAAGAAATTCTGTAAGTTCACCACATTGCTGGAAAAACATCACAGTACAGAGTATGATGAAGAGTGAGAAGAGAAGACTACAACAGATCATCTTCATCAGCTTATAGAGGTATTGATGAGATGAATTGAGATTTGTGGTTGTGACTTTTGAATGAAGTGAAATGTCAGTGTGTGTTGAGGTCACTGATGATGCGTGCGTGTGTGTTTATTCCAGTTTCAGCACAACAACAAACCAAAAGAAAAACTCTCTCTCTCTCTCTGTGTGTGTGTGTGTGTGTGTGTAGCACACCAGTGAGGTTGACAGCATCAGTGAGGGATTCCCCACATCATCCGTGAGTACAGTATAAAGCCATCACACTCTTGCTAGAACACACACTCTGACCTGACGACACACACCATGAAGATCTGTGAGTATAAAGCCATCAGACTCTTACTAGAACACACACTCTGACCTGACGACACGGTGATGTGTTGAGGACTCTGTGATTGACATCTGTGTGAGGTGAGACCGTGTCTGATGATGTGTGTGTGTGTGTGTGTGCAGGCGCTGTGTTGTGTGTAGTTGTGGCTCTTGCGCTGGGTTCTCCGGTTCCTCTGAACACACACTCGTGTCGGTGCGCCAGCTCTGCCAGATCTCTGCTCTCCAGCCTCACACACATCATGGAGAAGGTACGTTCATCTAACACTGTTACTGAGCGAGATGTGTGCAGAACACCAGTGGAGTCTGGACACTAAAACATTCTTCTCACCAAGAAAACAAAGTGGCTAACACTCCACTTAAAGCCCTTATGTATAATGCATTATAATGGTATTTTTAATATAAATTATAATACATCATATATTTTCATAAATAATTGTAACCAAAGTTCAAATGCATTATAATATTTGCAGATTCTGAAATTGCTTGTTTGTCATGTGTTTTAATGCATTATACTTTCTAAACGCATGTACATTGAACAGATAAGAATTATAATGTATTATAACTGTGGTTACAATTATTCATAAGACCATACAGTGCATTATAAGGTGAATTACTAGGCAGAATTACTGCATTAAAATACTTGTATAATGCATTATAAGGGCTTTCAGTACACTGTAAAACCCAACAAGTTAAGCTAACTCATTTCATTTGAGGAAACCGATTGCCTCAATTCATTTAAGTTTATAAAAAACAATAGCTATGAGTACTCTGAACTTATTTCAGTTGAGTTCACTAAAAGTAGATATTGCAGTCAAGAAATTAAGTGATTGTTGAGCATTAATGATGAACACCTGCTGTTAACATCACTGAAAGAAAGAGAAACACAAGAACTACAACTGACTTCCAACCACAACATTAGATTTAATCAACTGAAGATAAAATATGTTTAAATCTCTCAAGATCTCAGCAGAGGAGGATTGAACAACTCCACAAACAGCATTACCAGCTTCACTTATTACTAACCAGTTTGACTTTTATCATGCGTCTACAGAAGGTGTTATTGTGAATGAACAGAGGTTTAGATGAAGATGATTTATTGAGTTTAATTTAAAGACACCATGATAGTGGTCAGTGTTTGCTTTAGTTGGGCTCTTGACCCTTGACTTTATAACACCAGGTTTTCCTCTGCCTGCTGTAACTGAGTGTTTATATAACACATTTGTTATGGCACAAAAGCCAAAAGAAAATTTTATTTTTGATGATGATTTATGGAATGATGAATCATCATTTGGTGTCTTGATTCTCTGATCTTTTCTAGAGAATAATCTCTGATTAAACAGGTGATATAACTTGTATTATTCATTATATAAGAACTGTGATTCTGCTGTAAGGCCCAGTGTTGTTACTATCAGATTTTAAAAACCTCTATGGTATCATGCTGACTTACACAGACATCAATAATCAGTATATGAATCTCAACAATGGTGACCATTACAAAATAATTCATGCTGCAATGCATGCTGGGAGCCATGGATAAGGTTTGTATTATGGTAGTACCCAGCATGCATTGCAGTAAGAATCGCTTTTAATGGTCACCATTGTTGAGATTCATATGCTGAATCTTGATATCTGTGTTAGCTTTGGTAAGGAATTACATGTTCTGAAAAATCCTTTATACTATCTGATAATCATAACATTGCTAGTTCTTATGTTGTAGAATCTTTGTTTCGAAAACAACTAATAATATAATCAAACGTCAAGGGTCAAGAGCCCAACTAAAGCAAACGCTGATCTCCATCATGGTGACCTTAAACGTTTTATTTCTTGTGTTTCTCTTTCCTTCAGTGATTCTGCTTTTTAACAGCAGGTGTATACAATTATTATTCAATTAACATTCTGGGATCTAGAAATGTTCTATAACTCATTCAGTTTGAGTTATGTTTCAGTCATTCAAGACACTTGAAGTTTCGGTATTATTTGAGTGCAGTGAACTCAGTTTAATTGAGTGAATATTACTGTTAGGTTTTACAGTGAAAAGTGTTCTATTTCTACGAACTGAAAGGTTCTCTGTGGAGAAAAGCCCTTTAGAAAGTGTAGTGGGTGTCTGGTAAATAATGTTATTCTGTATATATGTGTAATATGGTTCCCGATGTGGATGTGTATGACTGTAATGTGTTGTGCTGTAGCTCTGGTCAGCTCCACTCTTCACCAGTAGAACTACACTAGAACTCGACTCAGCTGCAGTCAGACAACATCCACTCGAAGATCCTCTCCAAACATGCTCATATTATCAGACTGATCTCAAACATGTGACACGAAACATCCCACAATTCTGTTGAAAACGCTGATGTTTGTTTTGCTGGTTTCCCTCCAAAATGATGTCACTGAGAGGATGATGTCACTTTGTTGTTGGCTTTTTCAAGGGATTTTACAAGAAACAGGATTGAAGACATATATAGAAGAAATACATGCATACATGTTTAATATGAACTGTTTTTGAACAGTAATAGTGTTGATGTGTGATGTGAATGTGTCGTGTGTGTGTTGAGCGCAGGAGGGGAAGATGGAGCATCAGGATCTGTTTGCTGGGTTTAACTGCACTGATCTGGAGGCTCAGATGATTCCTCACACTCAGACCGGCTCTGTCTGTCAGCCCAGCGCCTCGGATGATGTGAGGACTTACACACACACACACACACACACTCACTCCCTCCTCACAGATCAAGGTTTCCTCTCTGCTTAAGCTGATCACTTTTGAGCTCAGCGGCCTGGAGACGTGTCTTCCACGAGACTCGTGACAGCAGCAACTTCATGAGAAAGAGCGTAAACTTCAGCCGAAAGTTAAAAGCCAAAGGTTCTGGAGGCAAAGTTCAATCTATTGGTTCACCGCATGAAAAACTGCATCCTCTGGTTATTAATGCTAGACTTCATCATTAAAGAAGAGTAAATCTGGTCATAGTGTTTGAACTTGACCAGGTCTGTTACGACCAAACATCTCCCTTGGCCTTGCGATTGCTGCTTATAGTGTGTGTGTGTGTGTGTGTGTGTTGTTCTGCTCATCTTTTACTAATTTATTAATGCTGTAAAACACTTGTGATTTCAGGCCATGTCCTGCTCCAGCCAGAGGACCTCCTCTTTCAACGAGGTGAGTCTGCTGACATGTTTAATATGTTTAATACCCATCCGATCGTTCCGGTTTGAGTCGGGTCTCTCACGCGCTGGTGTTTTCTTCTCAGGAGGAGTGTTTGAGGAACATCAGAGGAGATCTGCACTATTATAAGCTCCTGCTGAACTCCTACAAGCCCACAGCGAGTGATCTGAGTCCGGTCCAGACGGCCACCACTGACCTCGAGGAGGTGAGAATCTCCATCTCAACAACACACTGAATCATGTTTCAGATCAATCGCCACTGCTTGAAACATTTACTGTGAAATAATGCGATGTTCGAGGAACAGTAGCAGAACGAGGCGGACGTTTGGTTAGCAAGCTAGTTTTCCAGTCCAAACACACCTGACGTTTCAATTTAGAGTTTATATGTTGAAGGGTAAAAAGGTTTGTCATCTGTGTGTGATGAAGACTCTAATAAGGCATAATTCTGCTTGTTTTGAAGTGCTTGACAGCAGACAGAGCTGCCGCTGCTGGAGAGCTTCCTCAGGTGAGTGTCTCTTGTCCTCTTTACTGGTTTCCTCACCAGTCACTGTGGCGAGTGCTTTTCCAGTCACTAGTACACTCAGCATTCTCACTGGACAGCAATGCCATAGGGAAAAACTGCCATATAGATCTTTTTTTAATGATCTCATAATATGGCAGCAGGAATATTAGGCTGAATGCACGGATCCAATACACTGTTACACGTTTTCTTTCTCAACTGTTTATTTTCACTTAAACAACATAACTGACTGTGTTCACGTGAATCCTCGCCAAGACCGGCATTTCGACACAATTTTGTGTGTATTTGACTGTTTAAGCGCAATAAGCAGCGAATTCAACTGAATTGAGTACTGAGAGGAGGCTTTGTGTGCCGCGCTTTGGGTAAAATTATGATTTATTACTATTATAAGTAAAATTCTGCACAGTACCCACAATCCCACGCTGAAAATCAAGCCCTATAACACGAACAATATTCATCCGGAGCAAATGAAACGAGTGAGTGAATGGAGGCGGGTTTGTGTGTCACTCGCTGTCGGAGAGATAAGAGAGAGATGTCTATCTATTCTGTGGAAAATGAGTATTGGAAGCGTTTCAGATATTTCTGCATCAAAAAATCATTATTTTTGACAAACTACATTGCATTTAGTTTATTACTTCAGATGCCTTTTTAAAAAACTACAATTGAAAAATGTATTATATATAAAAGTCAACCTGCCAAAGTGACGTGTAACGCAGTCACTCCTTCTAGACTTTTATATATAATACATGTATGTATGTTAATGTGAAGCCCTGTACACACTCCTTCCTCCATTCATCCGCTCTTTCTCTCTGTTCGCAGTGGCGCGTGTGGAGCGAGCCGTCCTTCGATGACCGCGTGACCCTGTGTAAAACACTGAAGGGCTTCCACGTGCGGGCCATCACCATGAACAGAGCGCTCGCATACATCGGCTCTGGAGACCACAGGAAGTGATGTCGCTCACTACAGCCTTCACATGACCAATCACACCGGAAACCACTGCATGACACTCATATTTATAAGCTAGATGACATACTCACATCTCCATGCTGAATATTTATGTTCATTATTGAATCTATTTATTTGTTTTGATAAATTATTTATTGACATTCATGTAATACATTATTTATTAACTATTTATTAAAATATTTGTGTAACAAAAAATGTCTTTTTTGTGTTTGTGTGCATGATATCTAAAAACAAGTAAAGGAAGTCTTGAAGAGATTGATTTTTTGGGGGAAATGTTCAGATTAAAGACTTTAGAGACAGATTAAGAGCGTTGACTGAAACTGAACAGTAAAAATGACTTTGGATGGGGTAGATCAAAACTAGACTGAAACACTGTTATTCAAGTCAAGAATACACAGAAAGCTGTAAATGCCCCATATATTTTCAGAGTGGCACAAGAAAAAGATAAAAGTTATAACTGTTTAGCTCCTAAATGAACAACCAAACCCCTGTTAGTGTTTTCAATCATTTCATGATTTATTCATCTAAAGAAGAAAAGGTCACCCTAGGTAAATGAAACGCCACCAAAATAAAGCGATTCCCCTGAGAAAGTGTGACAGGTGCGGATTTAACCACACACATTTCATACCACAGAGAAACCTAAGGAGCCTGTTTGCTGAAATATTCATATGTTCAAGTGTGTGTTCTGCATGAATATCATGATATCAGCAACATTATCGGTCCATAACATCTGCACCTGAGAAACTAATGCAGACCATCACAGTTCATAATTCAACAAAGACAAACTTTGAGTTCTACTTCCTTTGGAAGACACGTTTAAATATGTACAACTTCTAAAAAAATATATACAACTGTCAGAACTAAAGAGCTACATATAAAACAATGAGAGCGTCAGGTTCACACAGATCTCAGGTCAGCACCAGATCTCAGTGTGACGGGCCGTCGTCTCCACCGCTCTCCAACAGAGCTTCAGTGATGTTCCTCACACAGATCCACAGACGCTCAGCATACACACCGCTGGACCCAACGTCATGAGTTATTCTGCAGCATCTCTGGAAAACCACGAGACAGAGACGCATTCACATCCAAACATTAGGAAAAACAAATACTACACTGTAAACCATGATAAGTTAGTAACAAGCAAAACTCGTTTTGTACTCGAAAAATAAAAGTTGATCAATTCAAATGTCTAAGTAAGCTAATTCATTCATTTAACTTAAAATTATCATGTAATCTCAACAAATATTTTTTGTTGAGAAGATTTGGCAAACTTGAACTAGCTAATTCAGTAAATGCTAACTTGCTAATTGGAAACAATGCTTTGATAGCATTAACATAGCATAACAATTGCTGAATAAGTATGACAAACATTTAACATATGACAATAATAAGAACACTCTACAGCACACTGTTGACTTTACTCGTTTATTTGGCATATAGCATCCTCAGGTTCGCTCAGTTGTGGTCTGAGCTCTCAGGTGTCTCTTAATTACCTCGAGTCACATGATCAGTTGTTCTTAAAAGTCATAATATTTTAAATGCCAATATCGAACACATTCCCATAAATACCCAGTTAAGAAAATATAGTTCACATCCTCAAATAAATCAACACAATATATACATAATTATCATCATCAAAAGCCCAACAAGAGCAAAACATTTTTTGCACAAAACGCGTACTTGTATGTCCGCCTCTCGAAAACAAACAGAGAAAACGGTCTGTGTCGAGGAAGAAAGGAGACATGAAAGTAGGCGTCCTTCAGGTCGATCACTGCAAACCAATCCTGTGGCCGCACACATTCGAAAATGCGTTTGGCTGTGAGCATCTTTTAGAAGGGAACGGTTCAAGACGCGCAGGTCCTGGATTGGTCGAACCCACCGGTTTTCTTGGGTGCAATGAGGTCGGGGCTGAAGAAACCGGACTTCATTTCGGCTGGAGGGGTGGTCTCAATCGTACCCTTCGCCAGTAGGGTGACGACCTCCGTACGCATGACAGGGGCATTGCCACCCACCACGGTATAGCGGATTCCCCGGAGCGGGGAGGAGACCGTGCAAACTGAATCGCAAAGCCGAGCCTGATGATTCTCGTGAGCCAGCGGGACAGATTGGAACCTCCAAAACTGAACCAGCGGGGTCATGTGAACCACAGACGTACCCACGATGGGGCAGCGAGGTGGAATGACCGGCCCAGACGCGGGAGGCGGAGCGTCCAGATGTGGGGGCACGGTCATATGCCGCATCCTGACAGAGGAAGGCCAGGGAATGACCAGCGTTCCACGGGGGCCTGCTATGTCAGGGGTCTGGCGACAGAGGGGGACGAGAGTGGCGAGGCTCGTAAGCGACGCGCACTGCCATCCGCGCCCTCTGGGGGCTCAGAGATGGGATGTCAGTTCTTTGGAGAAGAGGTTCTCCCCCGGCCCTCCACCGGGGGAAGGAGTGGCCCTGCAACCACTCCCTGAAAGAACTGCAACCCACCTCTGAGCTTCCTGCGACCACCTCCACGTCGTGGCCCGGTGCTGCTGGGGCCGGGCGGGAGGGGGCAGAAGTCGCAGGAGAGCGCGTTTGGCGGCAAGCGGACTGAGGCGTCTGAGCCGGCGGCTGGGTGGCAGCAGTTGGCCGCGGGGTCAGAACATGTTTGGTAGCCTCAGTCTGCAACTGTTGGGCAGAGTCCTTGACTGTGCCGCCGAAGAGGCCAGCCTGGGATATGGGCGAGTTGAGGAAGCGGGTTCGCTCATCCTTGCACATATCAACCAAGTTAAGCCAGATAAGTCTGACCACGCATGTGGACATCACCTGACCCAGGGAGTGTGCGGTCACCTTCGTCGCTCGTAGAGCGAGGTCGGTGGCAGCAGGCAGCTCTTGGATGAGCCCTGAATCAGCCCTACCCTCGTGCATGTCATTGAGCACCCTGAAGGATGGCAATAACATGCAGTGAGGCGGCAGCCTGCCCCGCAGCTCTATAGGTCTTTGCCACCGGAGGAGGAGACTCCCACAATCTCATAACCTCTTCATGCACGTCCAGGTAGAAAGGATTTGGGTTTGCCTCCCCCAAAAACCAATCATCAGCCTTAAGTGCTCGGGACATGGCGGATGGTTCCACACAAGCCCGATACTCGCGGCGGCCCCGGAAAGCATAGCTGTCAACTCTGGATCAGACTCGTTATGGCACGGGCACTCCCTGGCACACCCGAGGGTGGCAGCACAGACGAGCCCTCATCTCCAGAGGACTCCAGCTCACCTTGTGATGCGGCGATATACATGATTTCGTCAGCCGGGGAACCGAATGAGCCGCTGGGCCCGCCGGCGTCCTCTGGTCAGCGAACTCAATCGGAACGGCACGGGTTGCAATGTGAAAGACGGGGTGTGGACCGAGGGCATTTCGTCAGTTTAGTTCCAGATCTGCCATCTTAGGTCACCCTGGCCACCGGCCAAAGTATTCTCTCGCGTGGAGAAAATAGATCGGGGAGTGGATAAGGGGACTCTTGCTCTATTGAGCTCATCGACTCTCGACCGTTAAATTGTGATGGTCATGTTCACGGTGGGAGAACGTGACGCATCCACGAATGCTGTCTGAGCGTGATCGAAGCCCAAACACGTCAAAACAGAGCTCGTGCCCATCAGCTGAATCTATCAGAATACCGCACTCAGAAATACACGGGCAGATCGTTTTTAGAAAGACGTGCCACGTGCACGCTCTTTTTGTGAGAGAAAAGCTCGGAGCAGTGCTGAAGCGTCCAGGGTTCAGTAGGCAGGAATGTGAAACTCGCTGGAACACAGCATCACACCAACACTGACTGGAAGCTGCTCGTCTAGAATAGATAAAGATAGTCAGAGAATAGGGTGCAGGAGTGAAGAGAACTTCTTGGCTCCGAAGCAAAAACATATCTGCATATTGCCAGCGTTCTTCCTTTATACCCACGAGGTTGGGCGGAGTCACGCTATGCAAAATCCACAGACCCATGGCATTTCTTTGCCATTGGCTCGTTTTGTAATACTCGAAGTTGATAGGCTTTCTAAGCGAAACCCATTCGTCGTCATTCGACGTAACTCGGAGTGACTACGAAAGGGAACTATGGCTCTTCTCTGTAGAATGTTTAGCAATGGCATAGTCAAGGTTATAGTTTCTGATAGCAGCATTACGTTCTGCGATGCTCAGCTTAAGGTCACGTTTAGTTTGTCCAACATACATAAGACCACAAGGGCATTTCAGCACATAAATGACATGGGTCCATAGACAATTTATAAATTTGTTGATATTATATCTTCGTCCGGAATGTGCGTGACTGAATGTTTTAGTGTCTATAGTGTTGGCGCAATGAGCACATCTCCCACATCTATAGTTCCCAGAGACTTGTTGAGAAAGCCAGCTTGTCTGTGTGGGTTCCTGGTACACAGAACTGACCACCATGTCTCAAATGTTTCTGCTTCTTTTAAAACAGAAACCAATGATTAAGATTTGAAGAAGACAAATGATTAAGATTTGAGTCACATTCCAGGACTCTCCAGTGTCTATTTATGATCTTTTTAACCTGTCTCGAAGCAGTAGAGTATTCCGACACAAAAGTCATTGTCTTTTCTTGTTCATGTTGTCTAGTGCGAGGATGTAATAGCTCTCCTCTATGCTTCTGAGTAGCCCTCTCCATCTGAGAGAGATATTGAAGCTGCTGTTAAATTAAATAAGGTCATTAAACATAACATCAGTTTGTCAGAACGAAAGGCCCTTAATGAATTAAAGGCAGATCAAAATAATATAATTAAGCGAAGCGTTGTTCGTTTTGAATAAAATAAATGAGTAAAGTCAACCGTGTGCGGTAGAGTGTTCTTATTATTGTCATTTGAATGCGTTCCTGCTATCTACCTGCACCTGCCAGGCTGAACTGAAACATTGACCACATATCTGTTCTTAAACAAAGCTCATGCTCCACTCGTCACCGTGATGGTCAACTGAATCCCAGTCCAGTTTCAGTTTAAATGCAAGTTTGTCTACATTAAAATAAACAAGTTCATGAAACTCAAAACAATTAAACAATTCAGATTACTTAAAATGTGTCAGTTCTGTGGACTCAAAAGAAAGAGAAACTTCTAAAAACTCATTACGGTTCATTTGATTGAACTAATTTGATTAATTTAAGTTTGCCCTACTCAAACCAATTAATTATTTTGAGCGTTAGGGTTTACAGTGTAGTTTTCCTGACTTTTATACAAAGGTTATACAGAAGCTTTTCAAATCATCGCTATAAACTCATAAACTTTACAAAGACATTAAAGTGTTTTTAAGTGGCACAGAAGAAGCAGGAATGTGTTTCAGGCAAGACAACACCGTGAGTAAGGTCAAATACTTCCCCAGTTGATTCATCACAGTACATTAACACTATTTGTATTACAAGTTTACTGAAATGTTGAAAATATACAAATGAGGTCATTTCTAATTAAATATGCACTAATTTAGACACATTTCCAGAACAGAAATCTGAACACTAGATAAAGTCAAATTTTTGTTTGATTTGTTGACATGTGAGGAGTTAAAGGGGGGGATTTTTCAGTTCTCTTTTTTATCCCTCCATACATCAGAAAATACTGTTAACAGTCAGAAACAAAATACAGTACATTTCCACCATGATTTTTGGAATAAAACCTTCAGAATATAGCTAGGAATAAATCTGTAAAGTTTGGTGTGTGTAAGTGTTTTTGTGAAAAAAAGTGTAACACTTTACAGTAAGGTTCATTAGTTAACATTAGTTAACTACATTAGTTAACATGAACTAAGAATAACCAATACTTCTTTAGCATTTATTTATCTTAATAAATATGAATGTATTATTATTTAATATTAATTTCAACATTTACTAATACATTATTAAAATCAAAGGTTGTATATTTTAACATTAGTTAATGCACTGTGAACTAACATGAACAAACAATGAACAGCTGTATTTGTATTAACTAACATTAACAAAGATTAATAAATACAGTAACAAATGTATTGCTCATGGTTAGTTCATGTTAGTTAATACATTACCTAATGTTAACCTTAGAAACTCAGCGTCTGTATTGTAATTTAAATCTACAGACAAAAAAATAAATAGATAAATTGCAATGAAATAAACACTTAAATATGGTTTGGATGTTTTCTTTCCACAAATACGAAAGAAGACATGTTACAGAAGCCTAAAATCTCAAAATTGTCCAGTGCCTAAAAAAACTATGTTTTTGCTAGTGGTGTCTTGCCTTAAACAGGAATAGCGATTACTAAAACACCAGCCATCACATGACTGAACGCCACATTTGAAGAAGTGGCTTTGATTCCCGCACACGGCCAGCAGAACGCTCTTCTGCATCCCTGGGCTATTTTTATCTGCTGGTGAATGTGATATGAATATGGAAAAAGACGCCTCAAAACCCTTAACCCTCATCCTTCCCTCGGTCCTGTAACGAATCCTTCCCTCGCGGGTCAAAATGACCCGAAGCCCTACAATTATACTTCATTTTTTCCCCCAGAAAGCTTATTTTATTTCATTTTGATAATATTTTTTACATTTTTTAATGGAATTTTTTGGGAGATTTTTTGTTCTTTTTTATTTTATTTACCTCATTTTATTTACCTTATTTAATTCAGCTCAAAAAATCTTAAATTGGGTGTCTTTGCCGACCTCTTGTGGGAAAACAATAATATAAGATGATATTTCATGACTCTTTCCACTAGATGGCCTTATAGCTCTATATGAGCTGTTCTGTTGGGTCCTAAAGTCATTTCACTTCAGTATGCATTCATATACACATGTAGACATTACAAAATCATTTTTTAGTAAAGTTTTAGCATTTTTAGGTTTTTCTATGTGTACTGAAGCATTCCTCACATTCCATTGATTCCTATGGGGGTCAAAATGACCCGAGAGGGAAAGGTTTGAAACTTTTAAAAATTTCAACCACAAAGCTCTTCGAATGCATTAAAAAATGTTTTGTGTATTCGTGGTTCAAGTGCGATAAAAGTCATGGGGTCTTGGACCCCTCCAATGAACACTCAATTTTTTACATTTTTCAAAAACAATTTCTAGGTCAAAATGACCCGAGGGAAGGATGATTAACACTGCCTGTTGCCCCGACCATCCGCCCAAAGAGCAACATAGTGTCGGCCCAGATCCGGGCCGGATCTGGGCCACACTGAAACACAGACCATCACGTCACCCACCGTCCAGCACAGCGATGACCTCGTTAGGCACGTCGTCGTTGTCCTTCAGACACTTGTGTAGTTCCTGAATCCCCGCGTTCCCCTTGGGTTGCCGTCTCCTCCAGCGCTCCAGCATGGTGAACTTCAGCATGGTCACGTCCTCCTCCGCGGACTCCATCTCCTCCAGGTCCTGCTTGCTGAGGCCCAGGTAGCAGATGGCCACGATCTTCCACTCCTTGCCCATGCGCTTGGCCACCTGCATCAGCTGCTGGTCCGTCAGGCCCGGGGCCAGGGCCGTCCCGGCACAGTCTGGACACACAGCGGAGCGCCAGTCAACACACAGCAGGACTGACACTGTGAGGAGAGTCGTGTCTGTCACCAACCTACCGGACTCATCGATGCCACGAGCTTTCTTATTGGGCTTGTTGCAGAGATCTTCCTCTGACGTGCTGATTGGTCTCTTCCTGCCTGTAGAGGGCGAGAACACGAAATACTGACCGAATATTTCCCAACAACTCTTTCCCCACCAGCAATTCAAAAAAAAAGAAAGTTGTCAGCCACCGCCAGTGCTTTTGACTATTTTCACAAAATGTTCTTGGCCCAGAATATTTTGTTGTATGAATATCTGAACATCAGAAGAACAGAGCCTCTGCTTTTAAACAAACAAATAAAATAGTTTTTTTTCTAGCTTCATGGATCCCTTTTTTATCAACACTTGTGGGAAAGTTTCAAAAAGAAAAAATCATGTTTTATTTTTATTCAAAGACTACATCTGGATTCAGAGATGATAAAAACACAGATAGAGTAGATCGAGTCCATCAACACCTCAAAGCTTCAGTCCTGGGTTGACATTTCATTCAGTAACATTCATTTATATGCTGTTTAATGTTAATGATTACGTTATTTTACACATGCATATGCTTACATATGATATCACTTGTTTTTACATTTTCTTTGCCCATGATCAGGAGATTCTGTACTTTTTCAGAATATGTGTAATAGTTAGCGCCCCCTACCATATAACAGTGAAACACGGAAAGCCAATCTCCGTCAATAAGTTAAGCTTCAACAACTCTTTCAGTCTTTATATTTTATCCCTGAAAGTCTGAGTTAGAAGAGTTTGAAAGAGTGCAAATATGAACACAACAAGGCCGTAGAAGCGGTAGTAAGTAGATGAGTTTTCCTGTTTAGCTGTGTTTCCCACAGACCTATTTTAAGGATTTAACCAATAACCCACTGACTTCAGGACGATGGAACCGGAAGTGCTAACACATACGTCATCCCTGCTGGATATCCACGCCATACCTTTCGTTGTTTTTTGGGGGTTTTCGTCTAGTTGATGTACACAGTCTCCTGTAAAAGATTTAATATAAGACTTATTCTTCTTTACAATCACAGGTACACACACATACAGGGGTCAAGGGTCATTCTCAGGAAACTGTCTCCACGACTTACTTTTATAGATTAACAGGATGTTGAATTCAGTCACATTATTTGACTTAAAGGTTTACTGTATAATACAACACTTTTATTCTGAGCAAATACATAATTTGTCCTTGTACATGATGATGCTTTTGACTACGTGGTTGACAGAAGTAAGTCTTTAGCAGTATGCCATTAGGATTACATTGGCCGTAACATCATATGTTGAGGCTGTTATCAGACATTTTTGCGATGGATTTATTATAAGGCACTGAGTGATACGACCCGATTTTGGGTACTCATTCTAAACTTACTGTTATAGGGGGTAATAATGTAAAGATTGGCTGAGAGTTTAACACGTAAAATTAACTTAATGTTGAGTATTGGGGAGGTTTGTCCTGGTACTTCAGGCTTGAGGTGGGAAAATATGAGTTCTTGTAAGTTCAGGAGTAACATCTTGAATAAAGTTATTAAAAAAAGACATTTTGGCAGCAATGTCTCCGTCTGTGTGAAATGAGCCACTGGTGTTTGTGTGTTCATGAAGCCGTACCCTCTCTGATGGTCGCGGTCCACACAGTATGTCCCAAGTCCGCGTCTGTCAAGGACAGTTTGAAAGGAGGACTCTCCTCAAAGAAGACCTCAAAGTATCCCTTCACCTCCACGATGACAGGCGTGAAGAGCATGTCCTGCACACACACACACACACACACAGGATCTCCTCAAAGCCTGCGCTGCGGAGTGTGCTGGGATCACCGGCTTACCCTTACCCTTACCTCGGGTGTGATGTGACCCATGGGCTCGCTGATCAGACGGTACTTTCTGTTCTCCTCCAGCATGCAAGTGGGTGGCTTGTCTACATGAATATACCTCTTGTTGTTCTTACAGTTGTTCGCCCGCCGAACGGCCCTCCTGATGTCCTGCAGCAATGACAGCAGATTAAGGAGAACCTCTGAGTCTTTTCATACGGCGATAGATACTCAACTGCAACAAGATCGGTGACATTTTGACGAAACCAAACAAATACAACTGCCGTACTATGATTCTTGCTAAAAACATTGGTAACTGTTATTGAACTGAACTGAATCAACATTTAACTGCATTGTATATTGTCGTCGTAGAGGTGCTTATAGCTCATTTTTCAACAATAACACTATTTTCCTGTTTATCACTGTAAAGCTGCTTTGAAACAATCGTTATAGAAATAAAGCTGACTTGACATTAGGATTTCCCCTTAGTTTGTGCAATGCAGTTTTATTTAATGTTTTAAATATTGTTGTAATCAATATTTAGTTCTCTTTCATAGGTTCACTCAACGCTGCGGAAAGCGCAGTGGGATATTCTCTGAATGTGCCGATTGTCTGAAGCCTTATAGAATCACGCCAATTCATTGGCTGATGGCGTCCGCGCGATATGGCTCCGCCCCGACGCTCTTACGTCGCATCATTACATATTCGCGCGCGCGCCATCTGCTCCTCAGATTTCTCTACCTTCAGAGCGAAGCGGTCACGTTGCCCTTCGCTCGTGATTTTTCTGAGCTACAAATACATCTGGATTATTCTCGGCGCTTCTGCGACTGTTCAAGCGGAACTCTGTTTCTCCTTACGGTGAAGTTGCCATGGATTACAGACGCTGTACTCCGCCATGTGCTCGTTACATCGCTAACGACGACCCACACAGTAAGTGCGTTAAGTGTTTGGGTTTTTCACATGCACGTGAGGCAGTTATAGGATCGTCTAAATGCAAATTCTGTGAAAATTTGTTGCTCTAAACCCTCAAATCGCGGCTCGCGGTCTTTGAGAGGGAATTATTCGTCTCCCCCTGTCGCGCTCCCGAGGCCTCTCGAGGATCCGCGACATGGGGTTCGGATGTAGAGCTTGTGGATGTGGAGTTCGAGCAGACGAGCCCCGCTCTTTCTCTCCCTCCCTCCCCTCGGCACGCGCGAGGCATGCCAGTCGAATTTTCACACGATTATTTGCGCCCCAGCCCGGGAGCACGCGACGCGGTTTCTTTCGGGCTGGAGGATATACTTTTTACCGAGGCTTCCGACTCCGAGGATTTCGGGCCTACTCTCGCCGACGAGGTTATCCCGCCGAGCGGCCAGGAAGCGCGGCCTACTGCGGCCTATGCGGAGCTCGTTGACGTGCTTTCGCGCGCTACGGAGAAGCTCACTATTGATTGGCCCGACGAGCCACGTGAGTCTCAGTCGTTGAAACTCGACGAAAGGCTTCTCAGTGGCCCTAATTCTAGGCCTCAACGGAGGAAGCTGCCATTTTTCAGTGATCTGCATCATGAGATCTCCAGATCCTGGAAGCAGCCTTTCTCTTCGCGCCTCACTAATGCGGCTGCTGCTGATTTCACCAACCTGGTAGGCTCTGTGGAACAGGGCTATTCCGCCATTCCGGCGATTGAGGAAACTTTAGCCGACCATCTTGCTCCGTCGTCTGCGCCGTCCTGGAAGTCGCGCCCCCTCCTCCCTTCTAAAGCATGTAGGACTACTTCCTCTCTCATTGGGAAATCCTACATGGCGGCTGGGCAGGCAGGCATGACCCTGCACACTATGGCCATTCTCCAGGCCTACCAGGCGGACGTCCTGAAGGAAATGGACGAGGGTGACGGCGTGACTCCTGAAGCGGTCAAGGAGCTTCGTAAGGCTACGGATTTAGCCTTAAGAGCCACCAAGCATACCGCACGCGCTATAGGTCGCTCTATGGCTGGTTCTGTTGCGGTGGAGCGCCACTTGTGGCTTAATCTCACGGAGATCCGTGACAAAGAGAAGGTTTTCCTCTTGGACGCCCCCATTTCTCAAACGGGGTTGTTTGGTGAGGCGGTCAACACAGTGGTTGAGAAATTCCGCTCCTCCAAATCCCAATCGGCCGCGTTGAGACAGTTCATGCCCAGGAGGGCTAGGGAACCTTCTGCTCCCGCCCTGGTGCGACACAGAGAACGTCCCTCTCTTAGACCGGATTTCTCTTCCAGAAGAAGCGAACCAGGGCATCTCCCACCTACCACGGTTTGGGGAGTCCGCGGTCGCCCGTTTCCCCGTCAACAGCCTCACAAGCGCCTCCAGTTGAGGCGGTCCGACAAACCGACTGCTCCGGCGGCCCAGAGCCGTTCCTGACCTTCCGGTCAGAAAAAGGAGAGCTCCTCTGCTTCCTCAAGGTTGGGTCAGACCGCACAAGCGTTTCTGCCCACCTCCCAGCTCTCCTTTCCTTGCCCTGTCACCTTCGCCACTCAGAGTGTCTCGAAGTGCAGGTCATATTTCACCTTCTCTACTCAGTCTGGTGCGGGAGGAAGGAGACGCTTTCTGCTTTCTCCCCTCACCCCCCACACTCTCTATAACTACCGGCCGCATCCTCGGAGGCACTTTCCGTTTTCCTCCGGAGCAAGCGGATCTGGTCACCATGACCTCAGCATCGATGCCTCCCATCACGTGCCAGGACGCCGATGGCCCTCCTGCACAGTCAACCTCTTTACTCCAGGAGCGTCAGCACGGCACCCTCACTCAGGTATGTCGTCTGCATTACAACATCCCTCCTCCTCTATCACATTTCCTTCCAGAGTGGGAGCGCTTACCAGGGGTATCGTCTTGGGTTCTTCGCACAATTCGGTTCGGCTACACTCTTCAGTTTTGCCGCAATCCCCCCTGTTTCAACGGGGTGTTTCCTACTGTAGTAGACAGCGCCACTCAGGCTTCTGTACTTCAGCAGGAAATCTCTTCCCTCCTTCTCAAAGGAGCAATAGAGGAGATTACTCCAGGGGAAACCGAGCGGGGCTTTTACAGCCGTTACTTCCTGGTCCCGAAGAAGGGCGGCGGTTTGCGTCCCATACTGGACCTCCGCCGACTGAACTTCGCCCTTTACAAAGGGAAATTCAAAATGTTGACGCTGAAAGCTATCATATCTCAGATTCGGCCAGGGGATTGGTTCGTGACGATAGACCTAAAGGATGCTTATTTTCACATCCAGGTTGTACAGCGACACAGGCAGTTCCTCAGGTTCGCCGTTGGAGGAAGGGCGTTCCAGTACAGGGTCCTTCCCTTCGGCCTATCTCTGGCCCCGAGGACATTCACAAAGTGCATGGATGCAGCTCTGGCCCCATTGCGGCTCCAGGGCATCCGTGTTCTAAATTACCTAGACGATTGGCTCATTTTAGCCCAGTCCAGGAACCTAGTGGCCCACCACAGAGACATCGTTCTGAGTCATATCCAGTCTCTCGGTTTGAGGTTGAACTCGGAGAAGAGTGTTCTTGCTCCGGCTCAAAGCACCGTTTTCTTGGGGGTGAACATGGATTCCGTTCTCATGCAGGCCCGCTTGGCCCCTGCACGGATTTCCAGCCTGATGACATGCTTGGCTCGTTTTTTGCTAGGCCATCATGTGTCTGTGGGCACCTGCCGCAGGATGCTGGGCCTTATGGCCGCGGCCTCCTCCGTGCTACCGCTGGGCCTACTCCACATGAGACCCTTCATGTGGTGGGTGAAACTCTCAGGGGTTCGACCCTCCGGGTCAAACCATCGCCTACTGAAGGTATCGCGCAGATGCTTTCGAGCCCTGTCAGTTTGGCGGGACCCTCTTTTTCTTCCGAAAGGGGTCAGCATGGGTGCGGTATCTCGTCGCCAGATGATTACGACGGATGCCTCTCTCACCGGCTGGGGAGCGGTTTTCGAGGGCAGACCAGCGTGTGGGGTCTGGACCGGAGAGGCTCTCTCTTGGCACATAAATTGCCTGGAGTTAAGAGCCGTTTTTCTGGCTCTGCATCATTTCCTCCCTCTTCTGGAGGGTCACCATGTCATTGTCAGAACAGACAACATGGCAGTGGTGTCTCATGTGAACCGGCAGGGAGGTTCTCGGTCGCGCACCCTAGACAGGCATGCGCGTCACCTTCTCCTGTGGTCTCAGAGCAGATTCCTATCTCTAAGAGCGGTTCATGTCCCAGGGGTTCTGAACCTTGCGGCAGATTTTCTGTCGAGACAGAAACTCAGATCGGGGGAATGGATGTTGAACCGCCAGACGATGGCCCTGATCTGGGAGGTTTTTGGAGAGGCGGAGGTGGACCTCTTTGCATCTCAAGAGTCGTCCCAATGCCCACTTTGGTTCTCCCTGAGTCCCCCGGCCCCATTGGGGATAGATGCGTTCGCTCACCCTTGGCCAACGCAGAAACTCTATGCCTTCCCGCCCATCAAACTGATCCAGGCGGTCTTGGCCAGAGTGAGAGAGAGCGGAGTCCGCCTCCTCCTGGTAGCTCCGTTCTGGCCATCTCAGCCATGGTTTTGGGAGCTAATTCCTCTACTGGAATCTTCCCCCTGGAGGATCCCGGTCAGGGAAGATCTTCTGTCCCAGCTACAGGGCAGGATATGGCATCCTCGCCCAGACATGTGGAAGCTGTATGTTTGGCCGATCAGAGGCCGTCGGCATTAAGCTCTGGTCTCCCAACTGACGTTCAGGAGACCATTGCGAGTGCTAGAGCCCCTTCTACAAGGAGATTATATTCTTCCAAATGGAGGGTGTTTGAGACTTGGTGCTTAGCACATGATAGGAGCCCAGTTAACTGCCCTGCTGGTTCAGTACTGGAATTCCTGCAGGAGAAGTTTGCTGCTGGAGCAGCCGCTACCACTCTCAGAGTTTATGTCGCGGCTATTGCAGCGCATAGGGAATCGGATGAGATTCCCCTGGGCAAATTAAGGTTAGTTTCTGCCTTCATGCGTGGGGTGAAGCGCCTGAAACCGGCTCGCTCCCCTAGAGTTCCCCCATGGGATCTTTCTGTTATCTTAGAGGGTTTGACGAAAGCCCCCTTTGAGCCCTTGGAGTCAGCTCCGGATAGGATTCTGACTCTCAAGGTTTCTCTTTTGTTAGCTTTGTCCTCATTAAAGCGGGTGGGAGACTTACAAGCTCTTTCTGTTAGCGAGTCTTGCTTGGACTTT